GTTCTTCTCTATTTCTTGGTTTTGCCTCAGAAACTGCATTTTTGATGTCACCCCACAAGTTTTCTATTGGATTAAGATCCGGGGATTGGGCTGGCCACTCCATAACGTCAATCTTGTTGGTCTGGAATCAAGATGTTGCACGTTTACTGGTGTGTTTGGGGTCATTGTCTTGTTGGAACACCCATTTCAAATGCATTTCCTCTTCAGCATAGGGCAGCATGACCTCTTCAAGTATTCTGATGTATTCAAACTGATCCATGATCCCTGGTATGCGATAAATAGGCCCAACACTGTAGTATGAGAAACATCCCCATATCATGATGCTTGTGCAACCATGCTTTACTGTCTTCACAGTGTACTGTGGATTGAATTCAGTGACAAACTGTCTCCGGCCACTAGACCCAAAAAGAACAATCTTACTTTCATCAGTCCACAAAATGTTGCACCATTTCTCTTTAGGCCAGTCAATGTACTCTTTGGCAAATTGTAACCTCTTCAGCACATGACTTTTTTAAAACAGCGGGGGCTTCTTGCAGATAGCTTGGCTTCACATAGGCGTCTTCTAATTGTAACAGTACTCACAGGTAACTTTAGATCTTCTTTGATCTTCCTGGAGCTGATTGTTGGCTGAGTCCTTGCCATTTTTGGCTATTTTTTTATCCATTTGAATGGTAGTTTTTCGCTTTCTTCCACGTCTTTCAGGTTTTGGTTGCCATTTTAAAGCATTTGCGATCATTTTAGCTGAGCAGCCTATCATTTTCTGCACTTCTTTATATGGTTTCCCCTCTCCAATAAATTTTTTAATCAAGGTACGCTGATCTTCTGAACAATGTCTGGAACGACCCATTTTCCTCAGAATTTCAGAGAGAAATGCAGCATGTACAACATTTGCTGCCTTCCTTCCTTAAATAAGGGCAATAATTGCCACCAGTTTTTCAAAGAATGAATGACCTCACTAATAGAACTCCACACTGCTATTATTTTGAACATGCCCCTTTCAATTAGTGATTCAATTACACAGAATCAGCAGCATGCATGTCATGACTGTTGGGTCTGTTGGATTCCTATTACTCTACTACACCTGCTAGTAAATTATTTGCCATGTAGAAATATCATTTCTACCAAAAACAGTGATTGATCAGGTTAGTGATGTCTGACTGCTATTATTTTGAACACAACTGTATATGCCCAACAAGGATCAGCAGCATACTGGTATGTCACTGGACTTTGAGTGGTTATTAGAGGATGATGCCTGAAGCTACAGGCATCATCCTGGTATCGTTTTTTTCAGCTGGTGGTCGGCTTTCATGTAAAGCTATCCTAGTGGCTAATTAGTTGCTGGATCATTTTTACAAGCAGTGGGAAGAGACACCCCCACTCCTTCCGCCCCCCCACCCTCCTTCCACGGATTTTTCAGGCTTTCCCATCCCACAGGAGAATCCGAGAATGCAGCCAACAGTTCCATTGGCTGACCATAGAGCTGATCGTAGACCAGAATGGCTCCAATCATCTCTATGGTCTAAGAAACTGGAAGCTATGAGCATTCATAATTTCCATTTCATCTGATGTAAACGGGACAATTTAAAATTGGGAAAGCATCTGATCTTGGTGTGGTCAGATGCTTTAAGGGCAGAGGAGAGATCTAGAGTCTAATAGACATCAGATTTCTCAGAAAAGAGTACCTGTCACTGCCTATTGCTATCACAGGGGATATTTACATTCTCTGTGATAACAATAAAAGTGATCCAAAAAAATAAAGGGACAGTGTAAAGATGAAAAAAAAAAATCACCCTGCCCCCTCTCCCTTCCTGTGCTGGAGCGCAAAGGTGAACACAAGTGTCGGTCCCGTGTCAGTATGTAAACAGAGATTGCACCATGCATGTGAGGTATCACAGCGAACATCAGATCAAGGTAGCAATTCTAGCACTAGACCTCCTGTGTAAATATAAAGTGGTGACCTTTAAAGGCTTTTAAAACGTCGCCTTTTGATATGGAAAATTTGCATGCATAGTGTGTTGCTGTTGCTGTTCTTAATTTTAAAGCATGTCATGTTTGGTATCTATTTACTCGGTGTAACATCATCTTTTATATTTTATCAACCAAATATAAAATATTAACAATATATTGTGTTTTTGTACATTACAATTCAAAAAAGTGCATTTTTTCAAAAAAATTAGTGTTTGAAAAATCACTGCAGAAATATTGTGTGACATAAAAAATTTCAACACCCACCATTTTATTATCTTGGGCCTCTTCTTTAAAAAAAATATATAATGTTTGGGGATTCAAATAATTTTCTAGCAAAAAACTGTTTTTTCATTAAAAAAAAGTGAAGAGGCTTTGTCTTCAAGTGGTTTAGAAGAGTGGGTGATGTGTGGCAAAAGCTTCTAATGTTGGCCCTGAAATACCAGGATAGTAGAAGCACCCCCCCAAATTACCCCTTTTTGGAAAGTAGACACCCCAAGGTATTTGCTAAGGGGCGGGCATGGTGAGTATCTTGCAGATCCTATTTCTTTCGACACATTTTTGGAAAATATATTTTTTCTTTTTTTAAAAAAAAAAAATGACAACAATTATATCTGAAAAATACTCACCATGCCTCTTATCAAATTCCTTGGGGTGTCTACTTTCCAAAAAGGGGTAATTTGAGGGGGTGTATTGTACTATCCTGGCCTTTTAGGACCTCCAAAACTGTGATAGGTAGCGAGAAAGTGATATGAGGAAATATGCCCTTTGAAAGCCTGAAGGTGGTTATTGGATTTTGGGGGCCTGTATGTGGCTAGGCTGCCAAAAAGTCTCTCACATGTGGTATCCCCATACCCGGGAGAAGTAGCAGAATGTGTTTTGGGGTCTTATTCCGCATATACCCATGGCATGAGTAAGCCTTATATAATTTAAGTGACAACTTTGTGTAAACAATTTCCAAAAATTCGAGGCAAAAAGAAATCTTTCATGGACTCAACATGCCTCTCAGCAAATTCCTTGGGGTGTCTACTTTCCAAAAAGGGGTCATTTGGGGTTTTTTGACCTACCCTGGCATTTTAGCACCTCAAGAAATGTGATAGGCAGTCAGAAAGTAAAAGCTTCTTAAATTCCAATATATATACCATAGTTTATAAATTTTATAACTTTCACACACCCCAATTAATGTACATGCATTGGGATTTTTTTTAAGACATATAGCGGAATACATTTTGGCCTAAATTTATGACTAACTTTTAGTTTATTGGATACTTTTTATAACTGAAAATAGAAAATATATTTTTTCTTTTCAAAAATGTTGGTCTTTTTTAATTTATATCTCAAAAAATAAATAACCCAGTGGTGATACAATACCACCAAAAGAAGCTCTAATTGTGTGAAAAAAGGACAAAAAACTTTGTTTGGGTGCAGCATTGTATGACTGCGCAATTACCAATTGAATTAGCGCAGCGCCGTATAGCAAAAAATGGCCTGGTCATGAAGGGGGGTAAATCTTTCGGAGCTGAAGTGGTCTTAACCCCAGCTCGATTCCCCAGCTGCTTATTTGCAAACAGAACACCATGGCCAGGAATTGTCATTTAAACATTTATTTTTTTTTCTTTGTAAATGTCACTTTTGCTTTAGTGCATCATTACCGTAGTGCCAGTTCACAAGAAAATTTAGGGAATCTTCCAAGCATATTATTGTAAAGAATTGTAATTATTTTTAGATGTTGCCCTTGAAGCCTTTTTAAAAGTGCTGCTGTATTTTTAAAGATTTTTTTTTATTGATATATGTTCCTCCTGACAGTGCAGCACTCCCTATTTCTTTTGCTCAATAGTTCCTTCCCTATTATCCTTAAAAATGGGAAAACTTTAATTACAGAATTTAGACTTTAGTGGGGTATGGAGGATGTTTGCAATTTCTGAATTTTTTTTAACTGTTTGGTAAATGTCCCTCAAACAGAACCCAAGCTCATTCAGCTCATCCCTAACCAGGATGACAGAAGCATGGCAGGTCTGCAATACCCTCTTCTTCACCATAGCACATAGGAGAGGGGTTCTGTAATTCCCAGGGATAGTTGAACAAGGTAACAGATAAGAATACAGCACAAGCAGAGAGCACAGAATGTTATCATCTGAGAAGATTTCTGGCAGGGTCAACAGGTATATTTTGCACTGGAGAGGGAACTGTGCCTGAGGATCTGCAGTGCAAGGATCTCCCTGCCTCTGCTTCATTCATTATGTGGACTCTCCTGCTGCTTCTTAAATATCCCCCACCATCATCAGATCCCTAGTCAGGCAGCTCTGATGTGAGGTAGGAAAGCAATTCCGCCACTAAGATGTCTGCAATACAGAGACACACTATAGATGAAAGTGGAAAAATAGTGCTGGTGGACCCCTAAGTTTATCATATTGGTATTGCTGTCTTAAAGTATTGATGTTGATATAAATGATCTGGTTCCCAGGCAGGCGGCTTCTACATCCCAGATGATCTCCATGGTCTCCTTGGCTTATAGTGTAACTTAAATGGAAATTGAAGTGCCACACCACTGCTACATATCCAGATACAACTCATTTCCAATAAAGGTCAGGGAGATAGTCCAAAAAGTAGCCAACAGATTTCAGGGGCCCAAAAATGCCCCTTTACTGGGGCTTGTTTTAAAACAATGTGAATAGACAAGAAGTGAAATGGATCTTTACTGATGTTTCTTCCATGTTTGATTAAAAGCACAGGCCTTGTCAGCACATGGTTCAGCTGCCCTGATGAAGGAGGCATTTTTGGGCCCCCAAAATACATTAATAACTTTTTGGATTGTCCCCCTGACTTTTATTGGAATAAAGTTGTATCTAGACCTCTTAACAGTGCTGTGGCTCTTCAGTTTCCAATTGTGTTAATGTCACAAGTTAGCCTGCAGCCTCCTGTTGCTTTGTCTTACCTCCTTGCTGTTTGTGTTTCCTTCACATGTGTGTCTCTCTCTGCTCACCTATGGGCGTCGTCTGCTATTCCCTGGGTTTTATGTTCTTCCCTTTCATCACTTCCTGGCCCGCCTCCTTGTCTGCCTGTCTATTTAAGACATGCTCAGTCTGTCCCACATTGCCTGAGCAACGTTTGTTGTCTGTGCTCCCCAGTGTTCTTCCAAGTATCCGGTTTAGTGTTTCTGTGTACCGACCCTGGCTTTGTCCCTGACTTCTCTCCTACATCATCTACCTGTGTACCAACCCCGGCTTCGTTCCTGACCTTGCTTGTCTTCTGCCTGTCCCAACTTCGGCTTGTCTTCTGGATCTCCTAGTCTACTCCCATTGCACCCTGCTCCCGCTAGCGGTCTTCTACTACAGCTGGGTGTACCTGGGGGCCGCGACCTGGTTCCAGCCTGCTCCAAGTCCATCCCCACCATCAGGGGCTCTGGTGAACAAGCAGGCTGGGGCTTAGACTCCGCGCCTTGGGGAACCCCAAGCTGTGGATTAAGAGCTCACCACCACAAGTGCTGACAGTTAAATTACATTGCAGATGAAGCCATATAAAGTAAGAGTGAAGCTAGCATTTATTGTAACAGAGTTGGAGGGTCAGGTATAATCAGCAGCTTGTCTTGTTTTGGCACAGCAACACTGCACATTTACGAATTTAGCACCCAAATACTTTGTAAAAAAAGTGCCTGGCTATAACATACATTATTATGATTATACATGATTAATATTGGTTTCTGAGCTTGCTGAGCCTGCACACTGCTGATATTTTTGTAGGTGGGCATTTTAAAATTTTCATGATGAAGTAGTGAATAACACATGGAAACCACGTCCTGCTTCTAAGATGGGCAGCTATCATCTGTGATGCTGCTTCTTCCTCTTATTTCAGGGTCTCAAGGCAAGTAGTGTAGTGTAGTTTCAAGGGCTTGCGGTTACCATATACCTCCAGTCTAGAAATGAATGTCCATATTGCTCTATAACATGCCTATCACTGTGTTAAGTCTATTTTTGCATGGCCACGCTGAGCTGTCTGGGACCTCTCACAAGTTAAATCCTAAGTTTAGTTAAAACAAAACAAAAACACAAGGGACATTAATTACGATCAGTGCAATCTGTCACTTTTACTGTTGGCTCCTTCAATAGTTGAAATCCTCCTCCACTCCCCCACCCCTGCCTCTGTAATATTTTTGATACAATAGGAGTTAGTAGAGCTGACAGGCCTGTGATAGGCACTCATCAAGAGTACTGACTCTCTGCCCACCTCCTTAATTCATAATAACCACCCTATAGCTTCTATAAATGAGGTTGGGTGGATGAATGTAAAGCCTGCCTCCTTCATTAATAAATCCTTTTTCATCAATGGGAGCTTCCATAAATGGAGGAGGGTGTGGAAAGAGCGAGCATAGTCAGCACTTTTGATGAGTGCATATGACAGGTCCCTTGGCTCTACTAACCCTGGCCACAGAAGAAGATTATGATCAGAGGAGGAAGATTTCAATTATTGCAGGAGCACAAAAGACACATTGGACTGGTAGTAAGTAATGTCCCTTGTGCTAAGTTTTTTTTCTTACTAAACTTAGGCTTAACCTTGTGAGAGGCTTTATTTCCTCCCAGTCTAAGAACTGCTGCTTAGGGGACTGCAAAGGATTAATGCCAAGTCAAATTCTGGTACTTACAGTATATTGCTTGTATTAAAAAAAAACACAAATACTGATGTACTAATTAGAGACCTGCATTCATTTGTGTCTTTACATTTTCCTGAAGTAAAGATTTCATCTGCAACACAGCTATTTGAAAGACCTCCAGCCTGCATATACTATACCTTCTCTATGATCAATAAATCAGGGTCAACAAATGCATTATACACCACAGGAAGCAAAGCATACTTTTTTTTCATATTATTTAGAGATGGCCTACTAAAGTTCTTTGGATAGGGGACCAGATTCATCAACAGAGACAACTGTGATATAAACAAAATCATTACCATTCATTTATACTAAAGAAAATACATATACGAAAAAAGCAACAAAGAAGATGGTGTAATAAATTTCTTGGTGTGCAACCTAGAGAAGCCACCTGAGCTGGCCCAATTTGCCATCTAGGTGCTTCATTACCCAGCATGACATGCTGGTAGGATAATTGACTCCTGGCTAGATTTAGCCATAGTACTATAGTCTACTGTATGGGCCAAGGATGGCTGCCCCAACTACAGCACCTCGAGTCCCTAGGGAGAAAACTATAGAAGTGTTAATTAATAATCAGCCAGGAAACAGGGACTCTGTTTAGGTGCTGTTATTTCTTGTTTCAAATGTCCTGGGCAAACACTGAAATGTTTTCAGGGCAAAGTCCAAGCAGCATCGTTGTAAATGAACTTTCAATGTTACATCCCATAATTTGGTGCAACTTCAGCAGGTCACACTGTTTTATGATTATTTCCTACTTTAATTTTTTTTGCAAATGCTTTTGAATGATTGCTATGCAGCTTTTTCATCTTCATTTACCTCTACATCAACTTTGTTATCTTTTATCAATTTTGTTATGTGTGGACCTAGAAAATTACATTCCTTAATCTTAGCATCACTAATCCTGGGAGATTAATTTCTCAAGCACATGAATGAGATTCTTGTTTTATTCCTCGCTTTAACAAAGTTGTACATAAATTCAAGTTTGATATGCAAAGGAAGGTAAACTTTTCAAGTCTGACAAGTGGAATGCTTATCAGATTCTTCTCTACCGAAACATGTGAGGTATGTTTTGGCCATTTTATCTTAATGTATTTTTTTTTTTTTTCCTAATGTGCGACTCACCTAAAAGTGCTTTATTTGTTCAAGCTGCAAGCTGAGCACAAATACAATGACCTTCAGATTTTCCAGTTATATTTATTATGATTACTTTGACTATCTATGCTAGAGAGCAAAAAACAACTACTAGATGTTATTCAATGTTGCAAATATGCTATTATATTTGAAATATGTTACTGCAAGGTCACTAATGGAACGGAGTAATGAAGATGTGGTCAGAAGAAAACTAAGCCTGGTAGAGAAAATTTTATATGTTTTTTTCTTACATATATATATACTGTATGTAGTGTGTGTATATACTGTATATATGCATTTTTCTATGATCCTTGTAAGACCAGTACTTACTGTAGGTTGCATTGTGCGGTTTTGTCTGTGCTTGTAAAAGAACATAGCCAGTCAAGCTCAGCTACTGAGATATGTCCTATATTTTATAGACAATTAAAGTTTTGTAGGTTGGAGTCATCAGTGACAGTTGTTTGCTTATAACAGCATTATTAATTTAGGTTGTATTTTGTGTAGCTAGATATTTTTATAATCTCATTCTGTTTTGCTCATAGTAATGATGTAGAAAAGGATATGCCCATGCGGGAATAGCTACCCAACCTTCCAAATAAAAAGCCAGCAACATAAACTGAAAGCAGAGCTCCATAACAACAAGGAAGGTCTGTGCCAGGCGGGCCCCATCACAACAAGGAAGGTCTGTGCCAGATGGCTCCATTACAACACAAGAACTAAGAAGGAAAGTCTATACCAGAAGTAACCTGGGAACCTAGGGATTGATGCTAGCACCAAATTTCTTGCAATCACTTGAGTAGAACCTGGAGCCTTAGTAGCTTATGGTCATTGTGAAGCCACTATAATGTGAGCTAAGAGACTTTTAGCATATTCCTATTCTACACAGAGCATTGTTCATGCTCATTTGGTAAAAAGGTTAGGTAATGTGTGCATGTGTTGTATGTACATCTGTAATACTTTGCACATCTGGTATTGATTTCCTACAATTGTAGGTAGTTTGTATGCATTTTTGCTTAGTAAAAGCACATGATATACTACACAGGTTTTTAATGCTTCCTTGCTTTACCGCAAAGGGACATTAAAAGATACAAAGCAAAACACATTCAATGTGCAGACTTCTAGTTTACTGTTTCACTCGTAATAAAGCTACTCACCTATATAATTCAAAATAAATCCTTGTCCTTTCCCAAAGATCATTCCAGCTGGATCAGAGTGAAACTGAATTGAGAGGTCGGGGGATGAGGAGTAGAGTTTCTGAGGGCCACTGCTTCCCACAAACTGTCCCAAAATCTTTGATGTAATTTCATCTCCATCATAAATGGTCAAAATATCATTATTACTCAGATTCATTCTGCAATGACGGGCAAAAAAATATAGGATAAGTCATACAAAATAACACAAATATGTGTAACAAAATGTCAGTCAGCTATTATGCAGTTTCAGCTTTGAGCCCTCTTGGATGAAGTTTGTAGGGTACAATAGCTATTCTTTAGAATGAACTCTATCTTCAACAATTGGTTTAACCAGTGTTTCTCAAGGTTTTTTCAGTCAAGGTACCCTTTAAAATTCTGCTTAATCTCGAGGCATCCTTTAAAATCCTGCACAATCTCAAGGCACCCTTTAAAATTTAGCACAATCTTGAGGCACCCATTACAAAATGTAAAAAAACTAAACTAATAGTTGTACAGAATGCAGCAACATCTGCACATTTGGGACACCTAACGTCATAGGTGATTTATTTTTCGAAAGCAAATACACCTTTGCACACTGGTACTGACTAGTATTCCATTGTTTCTCTTCTCCCTCAGTTTTTCTGAATCACTCAGCTAATGTGATCCTAGTCCTGACAGAGAATGTCAGGAGAGAGCCAAGCAAGGCTGCTGGTATCCGATGTCCTTCTTATCAACTGATGACATCATTGGGATTTTTGTGTTGATGGCTGTTGGAAAGTTGTAATGGTGCACAATAAAATCCTGTGGCTTTGTGTAACTAAAAAGCAGGCCCTAGCCACCTGTTGGTTTGTATACAATTTTTGGGCAATTTTTAGGCATTTTTCCAAGGCACCCCAGAAAGCTGGGTTAAAATAATTAATTAATTACCTCAGTAGGCACCATTGATACATAGCTATATCCAAAATACCTAAATGAATACTATAATACTGTTATGTGCAGGGACACTGAGATCCTTTCCTGATTCTTACAATGGTGCAAAGAATGACTACATGATATCATCAGTTAGGTAATTCAGCATTCTTTATGTATGCAGTATAAGGTATACATGCCTAACTCAATACACAGTGTAGTATATCTTTTTCTTAAAACCAAAAATAATTTAATTAAAAATGAATCCTTCTTTCTATTTAAGTGACAGTGCTTGTGTTAGTCCATCTAACACTCCCCTCCCACCAGATTAACAATGCTGCTGTCCAAGAGTGCCCCTGTGCTCATTCATCTAGAGGGGAGGCATTCTAATACAGGAGAATGTAAGGAAAAACCCAAAGAAAAGAAAACTAATGCAGCCACCAAATCTAAGAATTGGTAAGATGCAATACTGTATATTACATATTTGGTTTTTGGTTTAACACTGCTTTAACTTGTGTATGTAAAACTCAACAACAGGTGGTAAAAAAATAATAATAATAATAATACTA